CGAAGCATTTGAAGCAGACGAAAGCACCGGAACCCATTCTACTCAAATGTGAATATTCCTAAACAATAAGGTGCTGAACAGATGCTTACAGTACCGCTCCCGACTTCTTGGCCTTCCTGAAAATAAACAACGAAAATACCACTTAAATAGGATGCAGAATGCAGCGTTGACACTAAGAAAAGCAAATAGCTCAAAATACTTTTTAGTGGATAGCCACTGTTAAAGAACCGAGACTGATCACGAATATTACGAAATCAGCTAACCGAGCTTTATTCTTTCTCCGTTTGGCCATTGGTAAATCAGCTTCTTCCAGCACCACAGGAGCAGAGGCACTACAATAAATTTGCAGTCTTCTTTTTTTTTTCAAATACGTTTGTCTTTAACGCTGTAATTCAAACTCTTCATCGTCTCACCTTGACTCGGCAGCTATTTCTAATTCACCAGAATCACCTGGCGACGCAGTACCAATCTGCTGATGTGATGCATCATCACCTGCCACGCTTAGAGACATTGAACTCGCTCTGGAAATACAGCAGCGGTTAATGGACAATATTTCCCTAACTCGAAAGTAACGTGACAAGCTAACCAAGAAAACGGGTACACCCGCACAATTTGTGGAGCACCGAGTAAACCAATTCTTCTTTACCAACACCAACTTATGCAAAAGCAAAAAGAAACGAGAGAACTCCATTAAACGCATTCACAAACACCAAATATCAGTAAAATTACATTGAGACCAAATCTGAAGAGTATTCAGAGGTAACACTGGAATACATGAAACGAGATACTTGTGAAGGGCAATAGTACGCGGCACCAATTTCCTTAATTGCATTTGAACAAAACTGAATAACGGGTCTCATCTGCGTTAAAGTTGAAAAATAAATACGATATAAATGCTTGAAAACCCGACTAACCAACCGTTAATTCACTTTAGCAGCACTTGGTAGTTAAGCAGGCTTAGAATAGTTAAAAAATTGACATCTAATACACGTTACGTACGAGGGGGACGGCGTAGGAAAAGTCAGTTGCCAAGTGCCTCCACTACCCCGGAAATCACCACCTCCAGCTCCACGATCCCGAAAACCACCGCCCCTGCTACCACGATCATAAAAGCCACCGCCCAGTCCATCCTGTTGCTGAGAGTCAGCACCAAGGCCTTCACAATCTTGGAAGGAACAGCCATGTTCATACAATTCTCGGGATACACCGGCTCGACTTCTGCAATCCTCGAAGGCACCGCCCCACCTAACCTGTTCTTGAAATCCACCACCTCTACTTCCATGATCTCGAAATCCACCACTTCGTCCACCTTGATGTTGGAAACCATCGTCATCTCGATATCTAACTAAACATTGTAAAACTTCCTGTTAAACTCACCTCTCACTCGTATCTTCC